AGCTTTTGATTCAATTTTTACTCAAATTTAATTTTTTTTAAAAAAATATTGGAAATCTTCTAACTATTGTTTTGCCCACAATTATACGTAAATGAGACGGTGAGAAGATCAGAAGTTCAAAATTGAAATCGATAGAATAACTGTGATCCTTTCGCTATAATGTAATATAACTTAGTCCATTAGTTTTCTCAACTCTTGAAACACTAGCCCAACTGAATGGGCCCAAAGGCAACGACTTTAGCCAATCCACTTCAAAAGATTACTTCGCCAAGTCTCTGTACAAGTTATTTGAAAATAATCCCTATTCGACCCATTAAAAACCTCAATCATCATACAAATAACCATACTTTAACAATTTTATACATTTTTTTGAATTGGCTTAAACTCAAATCACTTAAAAAAAAAAAAAAATTTATTCATCTTGTTTGGTTCCAATTTTCTGAAAATTAAGTTTTTGTTTTTGATTTTTTTTTTAATGTTTTTTTGTTTTTTAGTGAATTTTTTAATATTTTAAGTTTTTTATTTTATTTTATAGATGCACCTAATTTAGATGGGGGATTTTTTTATTTTTTATTTTTTTTTAAGATCCCTAATAATAGTAATTTAGACGATGAAAGATACTAAAAAAATAGATGACGCCTAGGTCCTTGAACGAAAACACGTGCGCTTTTCATTTATTTTTTGTACCAAAATACCCTTTACAATCAACTAAGAAAAGTGAACTAGATTTTGATAACTGGAGTTCCAAAACTGATATCCATGATTGAGAGAACATCGACATTAGGGTTTCACAATCATTTTCACAATCTTCCACAAAAATCTTTGCGATTCCTTCCTCACAAATTTCTCTGACGAGTTTTTACTGTTCATTGTCATCTTAGCTCATCTTCATCACAGTGCATCTTCATCTTAGGGTATATCAGTTCGTAATTAGGGTTTCATCCTCACTCTGGTAAGTTTTTTTACAAATCAACTAGTTTTTCTTTGGAAACACAGTTAATTACATTTTATAATAGCCTTCTATTAATTCGGGTTTCAATTTCGTAATAAAATCCAGGTAAATTTGAAAAATGAAATTTCTCTGCATTTTGAACTTATTCTTGAAGCTTGTTATGTGCTTGTGTTTGTAAATTTCTTTAGCATTTGGATTTTCTATTACTTGCTTGGTTTATATTTCTTTTTTGAATTTTCTTTGGCATATTTATTCTCTCATTTATTTATATTTTTGTGGCTACTTTGATTTTCTTTGACTATTTTGCACTTCTATGTGTAATTTTCTCAGTATTTTCTGTGGCTGCATTTATTTATTTGTTAGAATTTATTATGGAATTCATTTTCTCTGGCATATTTGTTTGGTAGAATTTTCTATGGAATTGATTTTATCTCTTGTATAATTGATTTTCTATTGAAAATTTCTCTATTGTTTTTAAATTTCTCTGCTCTTTTACATTTTTTAATATACACCAACCTCTTTTTCCTTCAAATTTGATTCAAGTTCAATTCATTCAAATTTCTATGTTGTGCAATTTTCTTTGGATGTTTAATTTATGTTGCTTTGTTGATTTTATCTGCTAATTGTGTACTCGTATGTTTAATGTTCTCAGTTATTGAAAATTTCTCTAGGATTTTTTGTTGCTAGATTGATTTATTTAGCTAGAAACCACTTAAAATAAGCCATTGACCATCATGGTTTCATCTCTGGTTATCTCATCTTACTACGCATCTAGGATCCTAAAAGGGTTATATGTATCAGGCTCTGTATTAAACCATGCTTTTCAGTTCTTAATCTAAAAAATGTTTCCATAGACAATGGTTCAATACACCAGATGGTCGTGGTTAATTTTCTCTGACCAAATTAATTTATGTTGCTTTGTAGATTTTCTCTGGTTAGTTGTGTACTTGTATGTTTAATTTTCTCAGTTATTGAAAATTTCTCTAGAAATGGAAATTTTCTATGGCTAGATTGATTTATTTGGTTAAAAAACACTTAGTACTCTCTTGTGTGTGTGTGTAATTTTCTCTGGCCACATTACTTTTTTCTGGCATGTTTAATTTATTTTGTTAAAAATCACTTAATACTCTCGTGTGTAATTTTCTCTGGCAAGTTTAATTTTATCTGACCACATTAATTTATGTTGCTTCTTTGAGTTTCTTCTAGTTGTGTGCTGCTAACAGTTTATTTTTTTCAATTTTCGATCTCAAATGGAGAATTACTACTATGATGGAAACAAAGACCAAACCCAACTCCTAAACCCAACTCCTAAGTGAAGTGATCTAATGGAAGAGAATTCTTGGACTAGAATAAATTCTAACCCTGTTATTTATGGAAATATTTTTTTCTTCTTTCATTTTTCTAATTTTTTTCCCATTCCCAATCAAAAGAGGAAACAAGAATACTTTCATTTTTCTAATTTATGGAAATGTTTTTTTCTTCTTTCATTTTTCTAATTTCAAGTCTCACCAGACTCTACTCTCTCTCTCTCTCTCTCTCTCTCTATATATATATATATATATATGAGACTAGACAATGCTTAGCATGGGATTAAAATAGGGCCTTAACTCAAGTGTAGTATTAGAAATTCAAAATGTCCAGTCTAATATGCTTAGACTTTGACTATTTTATATCCAATATAAATCACATATAATAAATCCTATGGCCCGTTGTGTAGTCCATTCCAACAAATATTAAAGTTGTCAAAATATCCATGTTATCCAAAACACAACAAGATATTAAAAACATAAGTTGGTTGTTCCTCCTTTGGTCGCGGCTTAATTTTCTATGGCATATTTAATTTTCTCTAACCACATTAATTTATGTTGCTTTGTAGATTTTCTCTAGCTAGTTGTGTATTTGTATGTTTAATTTTCTCAGTTATTGAAAATTTATTTGGGAATGAAAATTTTCTGTGACTAGATTGATTTATTTGCTTAAAAAACGCTTAGTACTCTCTTCTGTATGTGTAATTTTCTTTGGCATATATAATTTTCTCTAGCCACATTACTTTTCTCTAGCATATTTAATTTTCTCTGTCATGTTTGATTTATTTTATTAAAAACTACTTAATACATTCGTGTGTGTAATTTTCTCTGGTATGTTTAATTTTCTCTGGCATGTGTAATTTTACCTAACCACATTAATTTATATTGTTTCTTTGATTTTCTTTGGCTAGTTGTGTGCTTGTAAATGTAATTTTCTCTGAAATTTAATGTTGGCATCTTTATGTTTTCATTGTTTAGAAATGGAAAAATGCAACAGTAACAAAACACCAAAAACACCACATACACACACACACACACAAACAGAAAGTCTCTGAGTCTGCCACTTATGATCTAAGATCAAAATGTAGCAGCAGCAAAACATTACACACACACACACACAAAAAAAAGTCCAAGTCCAGGAGGAATGTAGCAGCTTTATGTTTTCATTGTTTAGAAATGGAAAAATGCAACAGTAACAAAACACCAAAAACACCACATACACACACACACACACAAACAGAAAGTCTCTGAGTCTGCCACTTATGATCTAAGATCAAAATGTAGCAGCAGCAAAACATTACACACACACACACACACAAAAAGAGTCCAAGTCCAGGAGGAATGTAGCAGCAGCAAAACATCACACACACACACACACACAAAGTCCAAGTCCAGGAGGCAACTAGTAAATGACCAATGTAATTAGGAATAACCCTTCAATTTGTTTTTTTGATATATTGAAGGAATGATGATGGTTGATATATATGTATATATATATATATATATATATTTTTTTTTTTGATTAATGTAAACTTCAAAATTTTATTGCTATCAATGGTTAAATATATAAACATATATATATAGTTTTTCTGATGATTATCAATTCTCTTTATGTCTTGTTGATAATGCATGCTAAGTGATGATTATCAACACAATGTATATAGAGAAAATTATATTTGTAAAGAAATTTCTTTGGTTTGAAGTTACCAAAACTTCACAAAGAAAATTCTAGTAACAAAGAAAAGCAATTTTCTTTGGTATTGGGAATTTTCTCTGGATGAATTTGACTGGTATTATAAACTCATTGCCCAAGGTATGTTTTGCGTTGATTTAGAAATTACAGAGAAAATTCAGAAAAAAAAAATTGAGAAAATTACAAAACATAATGCACAAAAGACACATTATCTTGTAATATTATCCACAAGCATACAAATTTCTCTCTGTTATCCAACATCAAAAAATGCAACATAACACTACAACAAAAAACACTCATATAAAGTAAATATTATACTCTCATTCCATTTAATGAGGAGGCTTGTGAGAGTTTCAATATCTTATACTAATTTTCTTAATTTTCTTAATTTTAAACAATTAAGAAAATTTCCATTGGCTAGTTTTTATTTGATAATCCCACAAAAAATGCAACATAACTACAACAAAAAACACTTTTAGCGACCTATTTTTTAGTCACCAAAAGTGTAATTTTGATTGCTGAAAGTATCCGCGACATGAACAAAATTGGTCGCTGAAGCCCTGTCACTAAGTGCTTCGGCGACCAAATCAATTTTGGTTGCCTTTATAAATAAATTGGCGACCAAATACTTCCGTCGCCAAAAGACTAAAATTTCGTCACCATAAATTAACATTTAGTCACTAAAAGTAGCCTTCAGCTGATGACATGTTAAGTTTCAGCGACATATAAATGCGTCGCTAAAAATATCTTTCAGTGACTAAAAGAATTGGTTGTTGAATGTTAATACTTTTGGCGACCAATCAAGTTTTGGGTCGCTAAAAAAATTGACACATACTTTCAGCAACATAAATAAAATGTCACCAAAAGTAAATTTACAACTAAAAAAACCTGTCACCAAAAATTCATTATTTATAATTTTTTTTAACAATTTTCCTGTTCAATACATAATTCATAAACCTATAAACATAAGCAAAATATAATTCAAATTAACATACTTGTGCAAAGCATCCAAAATATAAACTTAATTCAAAAGTAGTATCATATTAAATATAAACAACATATCAAATCCAAAACATCCAATTTAAGTACAAATCTCTTACAATCCCAAACTTGAAACATGTAATGCCCAAAAACCTTCTAAGCTTGCAAATTCATAACAAAAACCTATGACAAAATATATCCAAAAATTCAAAATGTAATCCTTTGATGCTTCCCGAACTATATTCCGTCCATTGCCAATCTGTCAAACATATGAAAAAAAAAATTATAATGTTAAAATGTTCAATTCAACAATAAAAGAGAAGGAACAATCACTAGCAATGGTGGTGGTAAATTAATTAGACAAACAAAAAATGTGTTAATGCTGACACCAACGACCAATCAGCAGCAATGCTAACTGATGAGTCCAACACAAATTTTGCTTAGCAACTTGAATTATCAAAATAACTCCAGGAAAATTGATAAACTTTGTAATTTATAGAATCCAACAAATAACATCTAATGTCACAATGCTTACTTGCATGTAGAATGTGTTGAAGTCATTGTAACCATCCCTGCACCAAAAAAAGGCAATTTGTAAACATTTATGTAAATAGTGGGAATGGGTAACAATCCAGCTTATGCATATAACGGATGTTAGGCAGAAAAGATTATCTATTTTTCTATTTTGTAAGAGACACAAAAAGACATAAGAATATAAAATTTAATAAAAATTAGTGGAAAAATTATATATGATAAACAAAATACAACTTTAAATCTACAACTGTATAATTAAGGACGGCAAAGAAAATAAAATATTAGAACTCAAGAGTAGAAAAGTCATTCACAATGCAACAATCGTGGACTGTGGTGACTGTATAAGTGATAATTAAGGCAAATTAAAAATCTTAGAAAACACTTAAGAGATTCTGAGTTGAATGAATTCATGTGAAAGGAATTGTCAAGATGTTCCATAGGCTTCATAGATGATGTCAAAAACATCTTAAATGCCATTAGATAATGGCAGTCCACATAAAGACAACAGTTGCTCGCTTACAGCAAAATCAGAACTGCATAAATGAGCCAGAGCTCAGTTTAAGGCCACTGAAGCCAGAAAATGCAAAGCACTACTATAGAGTGGCAACAACAGGACTTCCACGCTCAAGATCACTTCATGAGAGAAAGTGGAAATGACAGAAGTAAAGTTGTGCGATAATAGTTTTTAGTTACAAAGAAGTAAAGATTGAGGCAAAGATGACTCAAATTCAACTTAACTTTGATGAATCATAGAGACAAAACTACTTCATGTGAGCAACATCTTAGCTAGACTAGAAATTTATCATTAATGATGCAGAAAGGACTTCTTTGCATGAAGTTACAGGAATCATAATCTTAATCAAGATAGGGTTGAAATGATCACCATTGAGAACTAAAGTTGACATGGTGCATAAAACAAAACCGAAACCAGAGTAATAGGAAGTATATTTATGATAACTATTTACCTATACATGGCCTTCTTTAGCCAATGACTAAAGAAGGTTAGAATTTGGACAAAAAATACCCCAGTCCCTTTCCTTTGTCGACTACAATGAGGGCAATATTGTAACTCTAAAACCTCATCTTTTTTCCCCCTACATACCAGATCTGCAACCCACTATTTTATCATCACTTCCAGTAAAAAGCCCCCTATTGTAATTCCTTGTCCGTCACTGTCCATGCTTTTAGGCTTTGGACCATTAGAATTTCTAGTAGAGTTTTGATTTGTGTAAATAGTGGCATGACAAGTGGACCTATGGAGTCTTGGCAAGAGCAAGAAGATGGTTAGGTTGGACAATAGATAAGAACCCTATAATTTACCAAGTCTGAGGCAAGAGAGGGGTTCCTTTTGGCAGAATCATGAACATATGGTGGTTGCCCCTTTCCTTCTCTCTCTCGGCTCCCCCCTCACAGCTTCTTTTCTTTTCCTTTCACCCCCTCTCCTCTTCTCATTGTACAGGTGTAGACACCCCATTTTTGACCGTCCTCAAGACTTGGACGTCACCGTTGGAACACTCGGTGATCATCCGTGCTTGTGTTCGTCTCGAGTTCCCGGAGGTCTCGGCTGCGCGCCTCGCCTCAGGATCTCTCGACTCGACTTTTCAGTGTCTGGTTTTGCACCAAACATTTGTGTTTTTGCCTTAAAAGGCAGGGAATGGCTTGTTGGCCATTCCCACACCCCACCGGCTGTCCCCTCACATCACCGGTCGTTTATTGGTGCCACCGGCAGTGGTTTCTTAAAACCAATGGCCGGTCGGCACTATATTTTGCTGACCGGCACTTTATTTGGCCGGTGACCTTTTTTTTGCTGGCCGGTGTGACCCTTTTGCACCCTTCAGACTTGGTGCATGCCAGCTGGAATGCACCAACACTCCTCCCCGTGCATGAAGTGGCTGTTTTGCCCCTTTTGCTCCCTTTTGGTCAAAGCTTCTTGAAGAAGCTTGACCCTTTGTCAAAGCTTCCTCAAGAAGCTTGGCCAGCTGTCCTAGCTTCCTCAAGAAGCCTTGACTCCTTTGCCCCCTTTGCCCCTTTCACTTAGCTTCTTTGAGAAGCTTAAGTCATTTCCCTTTGCCTATTTAAGCACCTCTCTTCTTCCATTGTTAGGGGTTGGAGTTTTGAACATAAAAACCAGAGCTTATATACATATACATCTGATATACACACTCTCTCTATATATTTCCCTCTCTCTCCTCCCTTGTGTGTGTTTTCTTGGCCTAAAAATGCATTTTGACCTTACTTTTGCACTAATACACACACCATTACACCTTGCTCTGAGATTGAGAGGCATTGAGGGTTGTTTTTTGAGATTTTGGACTGATTTTTCTCAGTAGAGTGTGGCTGGACCAACTGTTCTTAAAGTGTTCTTCAAGGGTAAGACTTTCACTTTATTATCCCCAATCTTGCATTGGTTCTTTACCTATCTTGCATGCTGATTCAAGCTTTGAGTATAACATAAAAAAGTCTTATATTTTCCTGCTTAAGAACTTTCATTAAGGGTGTTTTGGCATTGGGGGCCTAAATCCCCCTCTTAGGTCTCTTTTGGCCCCTTTTGGTGCCTTTTTCTTTAAGCCTTATTTGCTTTGTTGTATTAGCCTCCTCCCCACTGAAATCCAGTGGATTTTAAGTGGTGAAGAAGATGGTTTGAAGTCTTGTATAGGGGAGGGACACCCCTCTCCCTTTGTGTCTCATTTGTGCATATTTTGGGCTCATAAGGGTAGCATATATGCTTGGTTGTTTTTGGCTCCATATCAGATGTTTTTGGTGCTATTTAGGTCACATGTTATCTCTGTTTTTGGTCGGATTGGTGGCCCTTTGCATGCTTAACATACTTACTTTGTATTCCCTTGTTTGTGCCTAGAAACGCATCATGACTTTTGACTACCATGCTCTCATACTTTGGCTTCACTTTGTGAAGTCCTTGACCATATTTTGTCATGAATGAGGTCTGTTGGCCACTGATTTGGTCTTGTTTAGCATGCTTGATATAGTTGCTTTGCATTTTGGATCATGACCCTTGAGGGTATGGGTCATGAACATGCATTGGTTAGGCTATTTCGGTGATTTGGAATCACTTAGCATATCATTTCGGTCCCTAAACCATGCTTGTATACTTGCATTCATCGCTCCTCTCATGCTTTGAAGTTGTACCCTCTTATGCCTTGGAACGTGCATTGTGTATGCCTGGGTGTTTGTTTCATTTGGGATGCCATATGTGTGGGTTTTGGAGCTCTTTTTGCATGCTAAAATTCTGTTTTGGTTATATAGTTCATGCCATGTTTGTTTGGGTTAGTGGTGGTAGAATGCCCTTTGTTATGCCTTAGCTTTGGCCCCTCTTTTGGCTTCAATGTTTGTAGTGCATTTTGTCCATCATTTGAGGCACTTTTGGCCACTGTTTTGGGGGGTGTTTGAGGCCTCCCATTTCAGTCTAAGTCCCTTCTCGGACATGGTTGTATGCGTGACTTGTTGCCTCTAATCGCATACTTGCATTATACCATATTAACTTTGCATGATGAGTTGCATTGTAGCATTGCATGTTAGGAAAATTGCATGCTTGCCATGGCATGTTGCATTGCATTTGGCATGCTTTGCATTTTAGTGATATGTCGCATTTTCGAGCCATGTTTGCATAACATGCATTGCATTGCTTGGTTTGGGGTGTCAAACCAAGTGTGAGGGGGGGAAAAGTGTTCATACTACAAGTGATGTAACGCGTCTCAACTCTCGGTCACCGAGGCCCTTGACTTTGGCATGATCGGGTTTTGGTATTCATTTATATGTTGCATGCATTTTCATTGAATCGCAACCTTGGCTCCTTAGGCCATGACGCATCAAAATGCATGATTGATAGCCCGAGGGTCGAGGGTCATGCTCCCTTGAGTCCCTTGCATGATAGGGAGTGTGCCCGTGCATTCATTTGCTTGAAATTTCATGCCATACACTGTCTGTCCTTGTTGCTGTCAAAAACCAGTTTCTGCAGGGAGTTCTTGCCGATCGGCACTGTGGAGTGCCGACCAACCATGGATTGGTGGCCGATAATATGAAACCCCAACCGATGGATAATTTCCATGGCCGGTGTATATTCCTTTCAGCCGATGGTGTTCTACAGGGTTCAGGGAACCTGTCCCAGGATTTTGGAAGTTTTCAGAGAAGCAGGGCAGTGTAAACAGAGGTAGCAGTGGTATGGTACGGGCTTTCGGGGCAAGATAAATCTGAGCATGCATCATTCACGCATCCCAAGGCGGGAGCTGCGGTGATCTTCTCTTTGCATTTAATTTGTTAATTAGATTAGAAATTTTGTAATAATTAATTTAGTATTATTTATTCGGACTGTAATATTTATTCGGATCCTCCGAGCGAGGGCAATTGTGTAATAAGTGTGCGTGACATACATTTGCTTGAAATTCCATGCCATACACTGTCTGTCCTTGTTGCTGTCAAAAACCAGTTTCTGTAGGGAGTTCTTGCTGACCGGCACTGTGGAGTGCCGACCGACCATGGATTGGTGGCCGATAATATGAAACACCAACCGATGGATAATTTCCATGGCCGGTGTATATTCCCTTCAGCCGATGGTGTCCTACAGGGTTCAGGGAACCTGTCCCAGGATTTTGGAAGTTTTCAGAGAAGCAAGGCAGTGTAAACAGAGGCAGCAGTGGTATGGTACGGGCTTTCGGGGCAAGATAAATCTGAGCATGCATCATTCACGCATTCTAAGGCGGGAGCTGCGGTGATCTTCTCTTTGCATTTAATTTGTTAATTAGATTAGAAATTTTGTAATAATTAATTTAGTATTATTTATTCGGACTGTAATATTTATTCGGACCTTTCGAGCGAGGGCAATTGTGTAATAAATGTGCGTGAGTGTGTGTATGTCTTCCAACCCCACGTCTTTCTTCCCTTTTATTTACCCGCTTATGATGGTAGACTAGGGCATATTTAAATTAGCATACCTTATGCTTAGCATTCGTGCATCCATACATTTGTCTTACATGCACCAGGCTCGGTACATCATGCTAACTGCACTAGTATTTCAATTCCAAGTTGAGTATTTGTTAGTTGCAGCATTTCACATGCCATGTTTAGGATAGCTGAGCCTGTTTGGATTGCATCTTTACATGTGTTGCATTAGCCATTTCAAATATGAACTAGGATCATGCATGTGATTGCTAACTGGTTTCTGTTTTGGCTTGGAGTACTAGGTGAGCTTTTATGCTTTAGCATGCCGCATGCGTGTGAGTGTTGCCATAATTGCATGATTACCATGAGGCTAGCTGCTTATGTGATATAACTGCTTGAATGCCTGTGGATGGAGGTCGAATTGCTTAAATTGGGATAACGCATTAAAACTGTGAATTTTAAGCCCACTAGATAGTGGCAAAACCATCTTTTCTAAAAGCCCACTTGAGGGTGGCAAAATCTGCATTTTAGCCTACTTGCGAGTAGCAAACCATTTTCAAAACAAACATGAAATGTTTTGTTCCAATTTAGGCGATTTGGTCTATACTTGTTTGCTGTGCGCATAACATAGTAATTCTAGGCTAAATAACTGGAATAAGAACACATAATGCTTTCAAAACAAGATACCACGGTTAGTAGAGGCCGATCTTTGATCGGGCGAGAGGGGGGGCTCATAGCTGACCTTCCCCACTCATACCCAAGTTCCCGAGCCGAGGCAACTTTGGTGATGACGGACACGTGGCCTTTGGCACCGAGTCAGGGTTTCCTAAATTTCCCGAAATAAAATATTTAGGTGGCGACTCTGTATCTAGCAAAGCAGTCCATGTTTGGCACTTCTTTTTCTAAAAATCTGTTTTCTCAAAACGATTTGCCAGATTTGGACTCTTTGGTTCAGATTAAGAACCGTGACAATTTGAGTCCGAACTGTAGTAAACCCGCAAAACGAACGGAACGGGACCTCACCCTCCCGGGGCGTTCGAGGACATCTACAACAGGTTGTCGTCTTCCTTCTTCACCTCTTCTCTGTTCTTGTGGCAAATGATGGTTCAATTCAAAGGCTCATCGGCACTGCATTGACTGATAAGATCCAACCCTATTTTAGTTGTCTGCCTTTCACCCAACAAATTTGATCCTTTACTTTCTTCTTCTTTTCCTCAATATTATTTGTTTAAAGATCATAAGTACCAAACTCTGCTCACTCAAAATCTTTTTGGATCATCTTTTTTATGATTTAAATTTTAGTTCGTCGAGTTCTAGCCCTCAAAGACAAACTTTCTTTCCCCTTTGCTCATAGTTGTTAACTAAGTTTCACTATTATGCTTTATAGCATTTGTGGATATCTGAAAACATCTTAAGCTTGTGATAGAGTTCAGTTTGTTACTGGAACAATCTTTGCCTGTTGCCTTCGCTAAATTAAACTTTTGCTTACCTTTTGGTTGGGTATTTTATGCTTCTTAATGGATTGTTAGTGTAAAGTCCCTCACTTAAGGTTTGAACTAGTACAATGCTAAATGAAGTAGGATTGCAATTCCATGTGTATACATATTTGTGTGTACATATTAAGAAGGGACATGCAACTTCCTAACAAATGTACCAAATGGAATAATAGATAATTGAACATCACAATATTTTCATCACCAGGACGTATCATTCAACGATATCAGGTTTGATTTGACTAATATCTGCATTTTAGTTGAGCAAGTGAGACATAGGAAAAATAAAAGTGCTATCCTACTTCAAATGAAGCACGATTGCAATTCCCTAGGTATGTATACAACTACGTGTATGTATTAAAAAGGGACATGCGACTTCCTAACAAATATACCAAATGAAATGATAGATAAAAGAACATCACAATACTGTTGAATATAGAAATTAAAATATATAGAATCTTTTTATTTTTAGTATTATGTATATAATCTGTGATTGTGTGAATCACTGATTTAGTGCCTTATTTACATTATAGATGAACAAATTGAGAGCAAATTTTCCTACGGTGAATTACAAAATTCCAATATACCAAAATCAAAAAGTAACACACGATTCACTAGTTAAACTTGGCATATATTCCCAGACTCTACAAATGGATCGAAGAGTATGTTAATTGCTCTGTCATCAAAGAACATCTGCCACCTGGAGAGAAACTACTCGCCTCTGCCAAAACATATTTTCAACAAAAATAAAAATATGCAGTTTCGAATTGCAGACCGATTTTCTTTTCTATGTACTACTAGTTCTTGTGTTCTGTGTTGCGAATTAACTGAAGTACTTTAAATTTCTATGTATAAGGAGTTAGTTATCGCTCTTGTTTCATTTCAAATAAAAAGTGATATTTTTGTATACAAGATGTGAAAGAGTAATGGTGTGCATGTGAAAGAGTAATGGTGTGCATTAGAAATAGAGTAATGATATAGAAACATAAAAAAAAAAAAAAAGTTAAACAGAATTTGTGTATGGAAGTGCATTAGCCACAAAATCTTGATAAAGAATGGCAGTTGAGTCAGGATTGCACAAAACAATGAATAAACAAAGAATTTTCTACGCGAAAAAAAAAGAATAAATAAAGAACGACTCGGAAAAGGATCTATGCAGAAGGAAGTGTCATGTATCAGTACACCACCTCTTCCCCCACATTTTTAGCTTAATTAATTCAAGTTCAACCATGAAGAAGGGTTGTGACCATTGTGTGGCTCATAATCAAATGTGAGGGAAAGAACCAGTGGCGCCGTTGTCACCTTGTCTAGGTTAATTAGTTCTAACTGCCTTAGCCATCCTTGAGTCTTGATCTTGAAGTCCTACCTACTCAAAATTGGGCCTGTTTGGTTGTTTTTCATTTTCTTTTGTTCGTTTTTCGTGTTTTCAAAAACAAAAACATTGAAAAATTCAAGAACGTCCATTGTTTGCACATCGTTTTCATTTTTATGAGAAAATAATTTTCGAAAACAACTTTTGGTGGTTTGTGAATAATGGGTTGTTTTCATGAACAAATCACCAAATATTTTTTTCCCTGAGTTTTCCCAAAAATGTAAATAGGAAACAAAAACACAATCAAACAAGAGCAACCATCTTTCTTATATCTGCCACAGGGAAATTTGCTTGTGAATAAATGAGAAATCAAGTACTCTAATGTTCTAGATGTTGCAACCTTACGAATTTCTAATATGGCCTCCATAAGAAGAAGAATTGAAACTAACAATAGCAAATCCTCATCTCTAATAGATATGATTGATTATAAACCTACAACCATAGATGATCCAATCTAGTCCACATCAAAATTGGCTATCACTCTAGTAGACATCGTGACAAACTTGATTGGGTTTTGGCTTCAAGGTATTTATTTAATTAGCATAGGCCTCTCAACAGATTGATCCATTACTCAAAGGTATGTATTTATTTAGCATAGGCCTCACAGATCGCGCTAGATGCTGCGAAGGGTATTGAATATATTCACGATCACACTAAAAAAAAAAAGCAATTTGATGAGAATATATTGGATGACCTTCGAAAAAAAAGAAGGTACAGCTTTTGATGATCAAGACTATACATACCTTGTTTGCCCACATAAGCCCACATGCATTGCAGAGTGTCCTTGGTCCAGCTGGGCCACGACGCATTGCAGGAGTAGAATTTTCACCAACACCACAATGTTGACATCTTCGAACACTAGACAATATTGCAGAAAATGATATTCACTGTAAATATTAATTAGGAGGAAGATAGTGAAGTATCGGTCTATATATTTAAAACAACAATTTGAGATTCAGGTTGCCACTCACACAGTTTCTGGACGAGGTGTGCCATCTCTTTGAAGGAAACTCTTAGTAGAATCCCAACTAGAAGAGGTTGAATTTTCTTTCAATGAAGCAAACTGACCATTCTTCCGATGCATCCTATTAGGATAATACATACAGAAGGAAAAGTTATACTCACAAATGCTAACACCTCTTACATCAGAATAATCTTTTCTCTTTTTTCTTTTTTCTTTTTTTTTTGGGTTGTTGTTGTTGTTGTTATTAGTTACACTGAAATAATCATTTCACATTCAAATTTCGAACCACTAAAAATCCTATCAAAATAATTGTAACCAAGGGCAAATTGAATGCAGTAAGAATTTTACCAAAATGATTGGGATTGAGGGTTTTGGAAGAAAAGTTCTTCTTATATCAAATCTAACCCTACTAAATAGAGGGTTTGCTCATATATTTATGTTTATCCTTAACTTGGGGTATCTAAATCTCCCAAAGTTCTTATATATTCCAAATTGTTTTGACCAAAATGCACTAACCAATATATAGAACATTTTATGGGACCACAAAAATATGACCTATAGAAGTTAAAAAGTTCTACAGATGTAAAAGGATATGATAATACAAAACTCGCTGTGGAGTTAGTACAACTGTGGAACAAAGGCCTGAAGCTTTTGGGTAACACCAGTGTGCCCCAACCCATTTCCACGGCATTCGGATGGGAACCATAGGCCTCTTTTATGTCTCCCTTCCCAAAAGAAAAATAAAGAGAAGAGAGCATTCCAAATAGGCCACACCCAATATATTCTCATCAACTAGCTAAAGCAACAATCTCAATCCCATATAAACATGAAAACTAACAAATCTATGAGTGCATACATACACATACATAACCATGAATATACCCAAAATAAAAAATAAAATAAAAATTAGGCATTCGGCGTTGCTGCCCAGCGGTGCTATGCCGTTGCCATTCGGTGGCGCGAGAAAGCAAGAGGGAGAGGGAGAGGGACTACATTCAAAACATCAGAGACAGAGAAGAGAACAGAGCAGCGACCCAAAAAGAGGGTCGCGATCTGCTGCAGCCCAGTGTTGCTGCCGCCGAGCACTGCTGTGCCTTTCGCATTCAGCGGCGCGAGAGAGTAAGAGGGAGAGGGAGAGAGAGAAGAAGAAGAGAAGAAGAACATACCTGATTTGTGCTATGCCGTCTCAGATGGATGAGAAAATGAGAAGAAGTTAGGTCAATTGTTTGTTTATTCACTTGACAACAATTTTTGGCAATAAAAAATTAGGGTAAAGACAAATAATATATTGGCAACCAAATTAATTTGGTTGCCATAAATGTTATTCAGATTTTTAGCGACCAAGTAATATTTTTCGCAAAACAAATACAATTGGTGACTAAATTTTCTGTCGCTATAAATTAATTTGGTCGCTAAAAAGTTTTTCGCGCTCCCGCGCAAGAAATTCACTTGGCACCAAAATCAATAGCGACCAAAATGATAAATTTGTCGCCAAAAGTTTATTTTTTAGTGACCACAAATATTCTGTTGCCAATTATGTATCTTTGGCAACTAAATTTTTGTTTGGTTGCTAAAAAGTATCACCAAATATGCTTTTTGTTGTAATGTAAATTTCTCTAACATCCTCAAATGTATTATTCAATTAATAAAATGTAATGTAAACAATTAAACGGATGGATATCCTCAACTATTTACTAAAGGTTTCTTGCATATACTCTTATTATGGCAACCAATACTTCCACATTGATTACACTTCATCACCCTTTTAAACTCTCCAGTAAAAGCAATGTTGTTATTCTTTGGCCTCCTAGCTGGTCTCTTACTCAATGAAGGTAAAATCATAGCATCATCAATGCTAACTATTCTAAAAAAACAAAATAAAAATACAGAGAAAATCAGATTTACTCATAAAACATTCAATTAATTCTCCAATCTATATATCTAACAGCCGCATTGGAAGTGGAATATCTTCCTGCATTGGGCCTTCTTCTTGGCATTACAATGCTTCTTCTTGATTGGTTCTGGCGAATAGGGGCTGAATGACTGTATAGAATTCTGCGTTTCTGATTGTCTACGCTTTAAGCCCGGCGTGTTCATGTTTTTCTAAAAACTCTTTATAACTAGAATCGGCTCTGGGGTTGCATAATATAATACTTGGAATCCCGCTCTTTATTTTCTTTGGGCGGGTATATTTACAATTTGAAAAAATTCCCGTTGCGCTCCAATAAACTCGCGCCAATGTTTCAAAAATTATGGGGCCACATCATCGATTATGTTGTAGACATAATCGTTTTCAATACAAATAGTAACTACACTAATAGATAATATTTATCTACAATACAAATAGATAAGTATAATAATATACAGCTAACACCCCCCTTCAAGCTCAAGGTGGTAAGGCGCGTCGTCCTTGTGGTCCCTCAGGTCGATGCGGCCAGAATAATAATTATGTGGTCCCAAAGACCGGGCCCAACATGTTTTCCTAATTCTAGATGGGCCTTCAATTATAATACTCTTGGGCCTGTGCGGTCTTTGGGCTTCGTCTCTTATATTGTCTACAACCCATTGTTGTATGGCTGTTGGAACGATCCATACTATGTCTGGAAATGGATGAACATACGGCAATGGTAGATTAACTGAAATCCAGTCATAATTGGATGACAACTTGTCATAATTTAACCAGAAACATTTTGGATCGCCATTTCGTACCAGTGCTAGTGCTTCGTCCATGGTGCCGGCGGCAAGTGCATCGCGATATATATTTTCTTTGCTACTCTGGTTAGCGTAGCGGCTCCTCTCACAGAATTCACCCCATTCCGTGTAATCCCCGTGTTTGGAGATGTATTCCAGCACATTCTGTTGGTTGTAGGCCCCTTGTACATTTGGATGGAAATGGCGACTAGTTCGATCGTGAGTAACGTCGAAGAACAGTTCATTCTGCATTTGAAAACGGTATGGAAATTGGACAAGGGCATGGAGATGTGGTTGCCTGTCCTCGTATCATTCATGTGCAACCCTCACATAATTTGGTGGCCTGGTTGTGAACAACGCTCTAATTTTCTCTAATAATCTCTCTTTAGGTATAAAACATTGGGCATATGTGAGGAAGATGTTCTTGCTTTGAACTCTAAAACAACGCCGCGTTGAGGCCATAACTCACTCTCTATGACGTCACTCACTCTTTCGGATGACGCAAGTCACTCTCTGAAAAACGTTACTGGTGGAAGAAAGTTAGGGAGTGAGTTATATAGGTGCCCAGGAGTGTCCCACTAATATTACTTGGGACGCTCCCCCCCGTGCCACGTGTCGTCCCTCGATTGGTGCTCCCTTCCGCAATTCGCAACGTGTTGTCATCTAGGGGCTCCGCTCCGCGCCCAGATCTGCGGCCAAGATTAAAAATCTAAAAAGGCAAGCACAAGCGGGAGTTTATTATATAAGCCAAAATAATGGGGGAGTTTGAATTATTTTGGAAATGGATCGCGGAGATCCAGGCCAATTTAGGCGGTTGATGTCTACTGGGCATGTAACTAGAAACGTAAAGTGGGTCTGTAATTGATCATCCGCTCGTAACCGTGTTGGTTGTAGGCCCCTTGTAGACATAATTGTGGGGCCACATCATCGATTATGTTGTAGAAAGCGTCGTCCTTGTGGTCCCTCAGGTCGATGTGGCCAGAATAATAATTATGTGGTCCCAAAGACTGGGCCCAACATGTTTTCCCAATTCTAGATGGGCCTTCAATTATAATGCTCTTAGGCCTGTGCGGTCTTTGGGCTTTGTCTCTTATATTGTCTGCAACCCATTGCTGTATAGTTGTTGGAACGATCCATACTGTGTCTGTAAATGGATGAACATACGGCAATGGTGGATTAACTGAAATCCGGTCATAATTGGATGACAACTTGTCATAATTTAACTAGAAACATTTTGGATCGCCATTTCGTACCAGTGCTAGTGCTTCGTCCTTGGTGCCGGCGGCAAGTGCATCGCGATATATATTTTCTTTGTTACTCTGGTTAGCGCAGCGGCTCCTCTCACGGAATTCACCCCATTACGTGTAATCCCCGTGTTTGGATATGTATTCCAGCACATTCTGTTGGTTGTAGGCCCCTTGTACATTCGGATGGAAATGGCGACTAGTTCGATCGTGAGTAACATCAAAGAACCGTTCATTCTGCGTCTGAAAACGGTATGGAAATTGGACAAGGGCATAGAGATGTGGTTGCCCGTCCTCGTGTAATTCATGTGCAACCCTCACATAATTTGGTGGCCTGGTTGTGAACAACGCTCTAATTTTCTCTAACAATCTCTCTTTAGGTATAAAACATTGGGCATATGTGAGGATGATGTTCTTGCTTTGAACTCTAAAACGATGTCGCGTTGAGGCCATAACTCACTCTCTATGACGTCACTCACTCTCTCGGATGACGCAAGTCACTCTCTGAAAAACTTTACTGGTAGAAGAGAGTTAGGGAGTGAGTTATATAGGTGCCTAGGAGCGTCCCACTAATATTACCTGGGACGCTCCCCCCCCCGCGCCACGTGTCGTCCCCCGATTGGTGCTCCCTTCCGCAATTCGCGACGTGTTGTCGTCTAGGGGCTCCGCTCCGCGCCCAGATCTGCGGCCAGGATTAAAAATCTAAAAAGGCAAGCGCAAGCGGGAATTTATTATATAAGCCAAAATAAATGGGGGAGTTTGAATTATTTTGGAAATGGATCGCGGAGATCTAGGCCAATTTAGGTGGTTGAACATACGGCAATGGTGGACATACAAAGAGTTTATGCAACCCCGGAGCCGATTCTAGTTACAAAGAGTTTTTAGAAAAACATGAACACACCGGGCTCAAAGCGTGGACGATCAGAAACGCAGAATTCTATACAGTCGTTCAGCCCCTGTTCGCCAGAACCAATCAAGAAGAGGCATTGTAATGCCAAGAAGAAGGCCCAACGCAGGAAGATATTCCACTTCTAATGCGGTTGTTCGATATTCCATACGAATGGCTGTGTCGAACCACATACATTGGAGAGAGAGGACGCTGTCAGGGGTCTTTTACGATACTTTGAAGAACCCGATGTGGTTCAAGGAAGTAGACCTCTCCAAACCGGGCAATCAGGGGGTATACAAGATAG